GTGTGTGTGGCCAGCTCAGCCCACCAGGGGGCTGGGGCTGGCTGGCATGTGGTGCTGGGGGATCGAACCGCGGTCCCTGTGCTTTATCAAGCTTGTTCCAAGTAGGTGCTTTAGACCACTGAGCCATCACTCCAGCCCCTGGACTACAGCTTTGTCGCCTGATAAAGTGTACCTCACTGAGAGCAGTCAGCCCGCCCAGGCTCGGGGGTTCCAGACGCCATGGATAGAACAGCACCTGTCCAGTAGGGCTGTACACAAGATTACAGTTGGCCTCGGCTTCTATGGGCCAAGTGGGTCAAAGGGAGATGAGAAAAGCATTTTGGCCAAGAGTGGTGGTGAATGCCTTAAGGTGAGGGAGATGTGCTTAGGTTCCATGTAAATCCTGCCCCAGTTTAACGAAGGGATGGATGTAAGCGTCTGTGATATGGGGGCCCACGGTGTCCTGGAACTCGGGTCCCTGGATACAGGGAGATGACTGCACTTCGTCCAGTAAAAAAAAGTTTAGGGAGGATGGACAGGGTCCTCCCTGTAGCCCGAAGCTGGCCTGGAACGCAAGGCGATCCACCTGCTACAGCCTCCAGAGTGCTGGGGCGACCTCGCGAGGGCGCTGCATGGCCTCTGTGACCCGCCAGCGCCCCCCTCCGAGAGCCCCCCCCCAGGTCAGGGCCGGATTAGCGGTCCTGAGCCGGGTCCTGAGCCAGCTTCGCGGCGGCTGGGCCATGGCGTCACTGTTCTCGGATAGCGTCCTGATCCGCAACAACAGCGAGCAGGACTTGCTGGAGACCGAGGCCGAGCGTGGCCGCCGGCTGGAGAACCGGCTGGTGCTGCTGTTCTTCGGCGCGAGGGGCTGCGCGCGGTGCCAGGCCTTCGCGCCCGCACTGCGCGACTTCTTCGTGCGCCTCACGGACGAGTTCTACGTGGTGCGCGCCGCGCAGCTGGCCCTGGTGTACGTGTCGCAGGACCCCACGGCGGAGCAGCAGGCCCTGTTCCTCAGGGACATGCCCGAGTGCTGGCTGTTCCTGCCCTTCGAGGACGACCTACGCAGGTGAGGCCCCGCCAGGGGGAGGCCGAGGCTGGAGCAGACCACGCTCGAGCCAGCTGCGACAGTTTAGCAAGACCCCGTGTGCAGAGGGAGGGCTGGGCGCGGCTCGGCCGAGGCCCCAGGGGCGCAGTCGCTGCAGTCACAGTTCCGCCCCGCCCCGTCCGCAGGGACCTGGGCCGCCGCTTCTCCGTGCAGCGCCTGCCGGCCGTGGTGGTCCTCAAGCCCGACGGGGACGTGCTCACGCGCGACGCGGCCGATGAGATCCAGCGCCTGGGTCCCGCCTGCTTCGCCAACTGGCAGGAGGCGGCCGAGGTCCTGGACCGCAGCTTCCTGCCGCCGGAGGACCTGGATGAGCCCCCGCCACGCAGCCTTACTGAGCCGCTGCGCCGCTGCAAGTACCGCGTAGACCTGGAAGCCCGGAAGCCTCAGGGCCCTGGAGGCGGGGCCGGGGAGGAGGGCGGGGCCGGGACGGGGGGCGGGGCAGAGGCGCTGTTCTGAACTAGCACTGGACGGCTGGCGGGGGCGGGGCCGGGGAGGGGGCGGGGCAGAGGCGCTGTTCTGAACTGGCACTAGACGGCTGGCGGGGGCGGGGCCCAGTGCCAGGGGCGGGACCCACAGAGTAGGGGCAGGGCCTGGGACTGTCGCAGCCCTCACTGGGTGACCGCGAGGTGTGGGTATGTGCGGCGGGGTGGAGGCGAGACCTAGGCACTGTTCTGACCTCCCGCTGGACAACTTGTGGGTGTTGGACAGAGGGCGGGGTAGAGGAAAGAGCAGGGTTGGGGCTCTGTTCTGACCCTGGCCAGCCGGGGCAGGGCGAAGTGCCGAAGGTCCGGCGGAAGGAGACGGGAGCTTAGACAGTTTGCTGGTGGTCCTGGGGGCGGCGGACTTGACGACCTTCTCACTTCTTGATCACCTCCACGCCCAAGTACCGGGCAAGACTGAAGCATGGGACAACGCTCAGCTTTCCCGGTCTGGACCTCAGGTGGCGCCTCTGCGATGTGGCTTGTGTAAAAACAGCATCCCTATGTGCTCCATGTCTAATGCCAGGCTGCCTCTGAACACAGTTCTAAGGGGCACTTTTTGCACATCCTTCAAGAATGGAATTTGCCCACCTGCACTGGGATCTGCACCCTGTCCTGGTCCTGGCCCTCCCAAGCCTCAATCTCATCCATGACTGGTCATGGCCATCTCCCCTTTCCACATATTCTCCACCCTTGGGCAATAATGAGAAAAGTGCAAAAGGCCTCAGTGAAGTGGGTTTTGGTGGCACATGTCTCCCCCCAGCACTCGGGCAAGCTGAGGCAGCAGAATTGCACCTCTGAGCCCAGCCTGGGTAACTTTGGCACTTAGGGAGACTTCATCTCAAAATAAAAAGCAAAAATGAGAACTGAGCTGGTGATGTAGCTCAGTATGAGTGTGAATCCCTATGACAAACAAAACAAAAACAACCTGCTTCCTATGGCTCAACAATAAAAGAGATAACGCAATACTAAAGTAGGCCAAAGACTTAAACAGAACTTTCTCCTGTGGTGTCCAAACAGCCAACAAGGACAGACAAAGCTGTGCAGTGTCCTCCGTTACTAGGGAAATGCAAATCAAAACCACAAGGAGACACCATGCCACAACTGCTAGATGGCTGTGATCAACAGCCACGCAGTGGAATACCACCAGTGAAGGGAATGGAACCCTGATCTAGCCTCTGGCATGATGAACACTAACAACAGGCTGCGCAATGACAGCCAGGCACCAAAACACAGGGCATGTGGCCCTACCCCATGAGATGTCCAGGACAAGCAAATCTAAAGGGACAATATGTGGTTTTTAATTATCAGCTGGCAGGATGGGTAGGAGTGAATGTTAAGATGGACAGGATCGGGCTGGAGAGATGGCTCAGTGGTCTAAAGCACCTACTTGAAACAAGCTTGGCAAAGCACAGGGACCGCGGTTCGATCCCCCAGCACCACATGCCAGCCAGCCCCGCCCCCTGGTGGGCTGAGCTGGCCACACACACACACACTAAATAAATGTAATAAATAAAATAAATAAATAAATAAATATATACATTAAAAAAAAAAAGATGGACAGGATCACCTTTTGGGATGACAAAAATATTCTAGGACAACATAGAGGTGATGGCGTTTCATGTACTGAATCCACCGAATACTTCTGTAATTTTGTTGTTGGTGTTTTGTTTTGTTTTGTTTTGTTTTCCCAGACAGGATCTTGCTGTGTAGTGCAGGCTGGCCTTCAACCTACTATGTAGTCCAAGCTGGCCTCACAGCAATCCTCTTGCCTCAGCCTCCAAATCCTGGGATTAGAGGCATGTGCCACCCCATCTGTCCTCACCTCAATTTTTTTAAGGTTAAAAGTAACATTTTATGGGCCGAGGATATAGTTCATTGGCGCTGTACTGGCCTGGCAAGCACAAGGTCCTGAGTTCAATTCCTGGTACCAAAAAAAAAAAAAAAGAAAATAATATTTTATAAAGCACCATGGGGAAAACACAGTGTTTAGGTTGGGAAGGGCTCAGATGGACATCGTAGGGAGACAGTGACTCCTCAAAGCCTTGAAGGGGGTAGACAGAGAGGACATCCGCTAGTTCAGTGTCAACGGGCTGACTGAAACAATAAAATAGCAAATTATTTGGTTTTGCCAAATATCTTTTATACCCCCATACTGGGGATTAAACGCAGGGCCTTTGCACTGAGCTCTGTCCCCAAGCCCTTTTCTGTATTTTTAACATAGGCTCTCCCAAAAGTGGCTAAACTGCAGGCTGTGGTGGAATTTGCCATCCTCCCTCCTGCCTCGACCTCCCAGAGTGCTGAAATAACAGGCATGGGCCACCATGCCTGGCTTCAAACTTTTCTTCAAAAGTATTTAAGAAAACAAAATTGGTGTTTGGGATAGCTGGAAGGTCCTTTAAGAGAGCTCCCATCTCTTGGGCAGACCATATAGCTTGGGCAGACCATATAGCTTAGAAAAAGCGCAGCAGCTAGGGTTCGATTCCCGGTCCTCGCCCCAGGGGAGCACTGAGACTGCGATTGAGACTGGGCCTGATGGCGCGCGCCTGTAATCCCAGCACATGGGAGGCTGAAAACAGACTTGTTAGGAGTCGGCTCTACGTAGTGAGACCCTGTGCGAAGTGCAAAAATAAATAAATAGTTCAGACCCAGCCTCTCCTTAAGATCTTGCACCCCAGAAGTCTCCATCTGGCCCCGCCCCTTGGAGACCACGCCCCTAGCGGCCCCGCCAAGGTACCGCTCCTCCGAGCCTCGGTCTCTGCCCCGCCCACCATCTTGCCTGTGCCCCGCCCCACTGCGGCCACGCCCAAGGGAAGATACAGTCCACCGCGGTCCCGCCCACCAAGCCCCAGTCCACCAGCTCGCGCAGCACTAGCAGCAGAGTCCCAGCCCTGGCCCGCCACGACGCTGCTAGTCGGGCCATGGCGCGTTCGTTCGGTGGCCGCGTGCTGGTGTCGCTGACGCTGCTCGTGATGCCTGCGGCCGTGCTAGCGGCGCTGGGCGCCCAGCTGCTGTTCCAGCTGCAAGCGGGGCGCGCGGAGCTGCGGGGCGCGGAGCCCGGGCTGCCCGCCGACGCTGCGGGGGCACTGCTGCCCCTGGCCGCTGCCCTGGCCGCGCTGGCGATGCTGCTCGGCCTGGCGGGGGCGCTGCTTGCCGCGCTGCTCGGCCACCTGGGCTCCGAGCTGGCGGCGTCCGGCCCCGGCAGGTGGGTGCGGGTCCCCGACCCCTCTCCTCTGCCTGCCCCATCTCACCTCCTCCTACCTAGCTCATCCGCAGGCGGGGAGGTCTGCAACAGGTGCACCGGCCGCTGCGGTCCCGCTCCAGACGAGGAAACTGAGGCCAGATATGACCTGAGATTGCAGGCTCAGGGCTCAGGGCGCCGGTCACTGTTGGAGCCCATCGCTAATGCACCCGGGCTGGTCTCCAACTTGCGATCTTCCTGCCTCAGCCTCCCAGAGTTCGGGGATCAGAGACGGACCACCTATACGCCTCTTCAGGGCAGTTGCTTCTCCAAGGTGCCTGGCCTTGAAGCGAAGGCGCTGAGTTGGGACTCGATTCTGGGGCGCCAGGCAATGTCCTCGCCTGGGGTGGGGCCCTCGGTGGGAACCAGAGCGCAAGATGCGGGCCGAAGGAGCCTCTCCCAGGCGAGGCGAGCAGGACAAGCCCCCTGGCGCCCCACCCGAGTCTTTCCTCCTGCACGAGGGGGGCGGATTATCGAACCTGGCCCAGGACCGGGGAGCATCCTGTCCCGGGGCGCTGGGGCTCACTGGGCTACTCTGAGCCCCACGGACACAGTGGGGACCACAGGGACCCACAGGAGCCTTCACGGGAGAACCACCTCACCATAACCGAAAAGACCAGATCTCTGGAGTCAGGCTCAGACGGGATGAACCCTGGGAGGGAAAGAAAAAGGGAGACGAGGGTGGAGGGAAATAGGGTGAGAGGCAGGATGGTCAGGGAGGCCCAAGCAGAGACCTGGAGGGACAGAGGCAGCAGGTAACTTAGGGACAGCAGTGGCCCAAGTTGAGGAGACCACGCCTTCAAACCCTGGGGTGGTACAGAGAGGATCGGTTTGGCTGCAGGGTGTTGTATAGAGAGGGGCCAGGGACAGGAGCAGGAGGATTGCAACCTCCTGGCCTCTGCCCTGTTGTGGGGTTCAGGTTCCCATGCCCCAGAGAGGGAGGGGAGTATGGATGGGTGGTGAGTGGCTATTGTTAAGTCTGATGAACAGAAGGATGGAGGGACAGAGTGGAAATGAAAGGCTGGACAAATTCCCAAAGCACAGAGAAATGATGGACAGCAGTGTGGTGGGAGATGGGAGGGAAACATGGTGGACCTTTAGCTGGAAGGATGGCTGAGTGGTGCAGGGGTGGACAGTAGTACAGGCAAGAGGGTGGATGGATAGCAGAGGAGCATCAGACGGCTGTACAGATGGGTGGGGTGGGTGGGTGGGTGGATGGATGGGTGGATTGGCGGGTGGGCAAGTGGATGGGTGGGTGGATGGATGGACAGATGAATGGGTGGATGGATGGATTGGTGGGTGGGTGGGTAGATGGATGGGTGGATGGATGGATGGATGGATGGATGGATGGATGGATGGATGGACTGGGGGGTGGGTGAGTGGATGGGTGGATGGATGGGTAATGGGTGGATTGGTGGGCGGGCGAGTGGACGGATGGGTGGATGGATGGATGGACTGGGGGTGGGCAAGTGGATGGGTGGGTGGATCGGTGGATGGATGGGTGGATGAATGGACAGATGCATGGGTGGATGGATGGGTTGGTGGGAGGGTGGGTGGGTGGGTGGGTAGATGGATGGATAGATGACCAGGTAGATGTACAGGTCGGTGGGTGGGTGGACAGGACATAAATGGATGGATAAACTTATTGACTGGGTAGATGGATGATGCTGGGTATTGACCTGGATCTCTTTCCTGTCCCTGAAAGCTGGCCAGGTCACTTGGATGACTTTCTCTCCCTCTCCTCACTGCTTCCCCCACCAGCTCAACCCCTGAACCCCTTTCTTTCCCTTGGCCTCCATTTCAGGTCTGACTGGTTTTTCCACGACTGTCGCCGCCTCAGGCACCTGGCCCTGGGGCTGTTCTGCTGCGGGGTATCCGTCTACTTAGCAGGTACGTCCGGGACAGCGTAAGCACAGGATCTGCATTGGGGCAGAAGGTGCACTGGGTCCACTCTGGGCACTCACACTTCTCCCTCTGGGGCCCTGGCCTCAGTTTCCCCTCAGTGCAGTGGGCATGATGACTATCTCTGCCTAACGAAATGTGCCAGGGCAGTGAAGCCAGCAGCCTCTCACTCCAGCTGGGTCTCTGAGGCACACAGTCTCTGCACTCCTGACCACCTGAGCTGCAGTTTGGACTGCCACGACCACTGCCCGGGGGCTTCTGAAGGCAGTGATTAGTGGCTGGGCTTGGCGGAAATGAGTTGAGCCAGTAGCTCAAAGTGGATTAAAAATCGTGATTTACGTACTAGACATGCAATTTTTAAGACTGAACTCTAGAGAAAAAAACCCAGCTATTCCCATGAAGATGTACAATTATTAGGTATCAATTAACACAGGTTAAAAATGAGGGTTGGCGGTGTAGCTCAGTGGTGAGTGCTTGCCCCTTGCATGAGGCCCTGGACTCTGTCCCCAGCACCACTAAAATACAACAAGAGTAAGAATAATGTCCTGGGTGCCAGAAGACTGCACCTTATACACCTTCCTGATTTGTAGCTTTTTTTTTCTTAGATCATCCTTCCTCAACCTGTATTTGTAAACTGGTCAAGTCATCCAGTGTCATCGGAGGGACTCTTGGTGTCTTACACATATTTTCAAGCTTGAGAAAAGTGTGTTGCCAGTGCCCAGCCTACCCTGTAAGCAACCTTTAAGAAAAAACAAAAACAAACGAAAGACAGGGGAGGACAGACCTGGTACACGCCTGTGATGCCAGCACTTATGAGGCCAAGCAGGAAGATCCCACAAGCTCGAAGCCACCCGGGGTTAGGTAGTGAGTTCAATGCCAGCCTCAAGTAAATAGCAAGACTCTCTCACCAAAAAAAAAAAAAAAAAAAAAAGCTTTGCTATTACTATTTTTTTTTCAGGTATTTGGTCCAGGGTCTCACTATGCAGTCCAGACTCATAGTGATCCCAGTTTTCAGCCTCCCCAGTGCCGGGATTACAGGCGTGCGCCACCATGTCTGATCCCCATGGCCAGCTTAGGGGGTGGGGGAAGATGTGGTGCTGGAGATCGGGGATCGAACCCCAGTCCCTGTGCTTGCATAATCTATCAGGCATTTAGTCCACTGAGCTATCTTGCCAGGCCACTATTACTATTTTTGATTGATCTGTGTTTATTTTGTGTGGTACTGGGGATGGAAGCCAGGGCTTCCCACATGCTAGGCAAGGGCTCTGCCATGGAACTGAACCTCCAGCCCCAATATATAAGCTCTTTATATGTCAATTAAAAACAAATAAAAAGATGGCAACACACCCATGCAATCCCAGCAGCTTGGGAAGCTGAGGCAGGATTGCAAGATTGGATCCAGCCTGGGCAACTGATAGACACGACAGAGAGACCCTGTCTTGAAATAAAATAAAAAGGGGTTGGGGTGTGGCTTACTGCTGCCTGGGTTCAGTCCCCATGCTGCACAACAAATAAATAAGAGCTGGACAAAAAAGCAAAACAACACCCCCCAAAAATTTATGGGAGCTGTAACTACTTCTTCTGGGGTTTACAATAGAGAAATAGAAATTACAAATTATTTTTATGAGATGTGAGCCTAGGGTTCAATCGTGTAAAATGAAGTACAGAGGGGCCGGGGAGATGGCTCAGTAGGATAAGCACTTGACTGGCAAACACAAGGATCTGAGTTCAATCCCCAGTTCCACAAAAAAAAATAAGTACAGAAAATTGCATAACTTTTGTTGTTTGAGTTCATACAAGGCTCCAAAAAGTGAAGGTTTCAAAGGGAGAATTATGGGCTAACTGATGTCTCTGCACTTACAAGGGGAATCTGGCTTCTGGAGGGGTTGGATCCAGGCCTTGTTTGAAATATTTTGCGTCGGGGCCAGGGAGATGGCTCAGTAGAATAAACGCTTGCCTGGCAAGCACAAAAGTCTGAGTTCACTCCCCGGTTCTGCCAAAAAAAAAAAAAAAAAAAAAAAACCTTGCTCTACTTTTCGTTCACTGTCCCCAAGTGGACACCTCTGAGAGAGATTCTGGATCTGAGAGCATTTCTGACACAATGCCTGCACCCCAAGCCTTGTCACAGGCTGCTCATAACCTAGAGGGTCAGATTTGTTTATCATAGGAAAAAAATTTCACCTCCCAGTTGAGGCTGGGTGACCTCTTTAGCAAGTGTTTGCCCAGCCAAGTGTCCTTTTATTGTTAGGCAGAGTCAAAAGAATAATGCTTTAAAAAAAAAAAAAAAGATGCAGGGTGTGATGGTGCACGCCTCTAATCCCAGCACTCGGGAGGCTGAGGCAGGAGAATCACCGGGAGTTGGAGGTCAACCTGGAACACTGAGCAAGACCTTGTCTCAAACAAAACCAAAGAAATAAACGGAAAAACAATAACCTCTCAAAACACAGAGAAGAATAGTTTAGAGCAGAAGTGTCTCATCCTCACGGCTGGACTTGAAGCTCGTTCCTCCAAAGCAAGCGCGCAGAGAGCCAGAGAGCGGAACAGTACCCTACCCAGAGGCCCCGCCCCGCCCCGCCCCGCCCCGCCCACGGCAGGAAGGACCGGGCGAAAGGGTGCATGGAGGCCTCTGATAGGGTGGGGCTGGTCATGTGATATTTCCCCACCAATTACTGACCAGAGTAGGGCCGGCTCTCCTGGCTAACCCAAAGCTATCACCAGGGCCAAGGAGAGGAGTCTGTGACTTGGCCCAGTGGCCAGCACGACCATGGGCACACGCCCCCCGTGGCCTTGGTGTCCGGCTGCGTGAGGGCCTACGCCCAGAGCTCTCTCGCTGGGCTAGGACCCAGTTCCTTTGTGAGTTTATTCCACAGATAGCATCTCACTAAGCTGCCGAGCTGCCCAGGCTGGGCTCTGACTCGTGATCCTCTTCCTTCAGCCTTACAGAGTGCTGGGACTACAGGCGTGGTCCCTTATGCCTAGTAGCGCTCCGTTCCTATTTTATGCCCACGTAATATGGTATGCATATTCCATGAGGAAGGGCTTCCTTTGGTTTGTTCTCATTTGCGGTGCAGGCATGGCAATTGGGCCTCAAGCATGCCAGGCGAGGGCTCTGCCGCGGGGTGCACCTCCACGCGGAGCTCCTTAAAGCCCAGGAAATCAAGCCAGCCACCGTGGCAGGAGAGGCTGAGGCAGGAGGGTCATGTGGCACCCTGGGTTATCTAGGAGGACCCCTTCCCAAAGCTCAGGGAAAACGACAGAGCCGGTCCCTGTCCCTTCTCCGGCTCCCTGCGGTCTGGCCCCAGCCCCCAACCCCTCCCTGCCATCCCCCTCCTGCCCCAGCCGCGCTGTCCGGCTGTTTCTGAGGCTCCAGCGCTCCGGCACTGCTGCCTCAGGACCTCTGCACCCTGTTCTGTCTGCAAAAGCGCCTTCTCCGCTCCCCCGGGGCTTTCTTCTTCCCCTGCAGCTCGTGGACTTCCCCCGCAGTGCTCAAGCAGGTCCCTGCCTGGCAGATGTCCTCCTCCGAGGGCCAGCGAGGTAGCTCAGGACTGAGCGCCTGCTTAGGCCAAAGCAGGGACAGGGTCCCCCTCTCGCGCCACGTGCCGCCGCGCCACCTCTCTGCCCGGTGCTCTAGCCAGGCGCCGACCCCCGGCGTAGTGGAGCACGCCTGTAATCCCAGCGCTGGGGAGGCTGAAAACGGAAGGATCACTATGAGTCCGAGCTGCGTAAGGAGATCCTGTACCAAGTCCTCTGACACCTCCTGGCTTGGGGCGGAGCATATTTGCAGACAGATGTGCTGAGGCTGTGTGTGAGGCAGGGGAGGGTCTGGCGAGTTGTGCAGGGTCAGTGTGCTTTTCCGACCGCATCCCTGTATGGGGATCTCCTTGCATGCCTGGAGAACAAATGCCTGTTGACTGACTAAGTTTCCTCCCCCAGCGCTGGCCATCTACACCCTGCTCCTTTTCGAGATCGAGGCAGGCGCGGCCGCCGCCTCCATCCTGGGCTCCGGTGCGCTGCTGCTGGTGGCTGTGCTGACCCACGCTCTGCTCCGGGCCGCCCGCAGCGGCCCCCACGACCTGCCCCTGCCCAGCTCTGAGGACGAGCCCGGCCACCCTGCAGGCATCTCCAAGGCCGACCCTGGCCCGCAGCTCCAGCAGGGTACCCACCCTGGGTCCCCCTATTCATCCTGCCCGGTGCCAGGGCACCCTGTCCAGCCCATAGCCACAGCCACCACCCCTGCAGCCCTTGGGGGCGGCCGGGAGAACTGCCAGCACGCGCCCTTCGAGCCCCGCACACTGTCAGCCAACATGGGGCGCTGGCACAAGGTTGCACATAAGATGCACTCCGGGCTGGGCTGTGGGCCAGCAAGTATGAGAAAGGACTCCACACTGGTGTGAGCCCAGGGAGCAGCAAACAGCGGACACATAGAGGCCCGTCCTGCCCCTGCTGCAGTAGCAGGAGAACCCGATAGAGCTCACAGCAGCCCAGTACCTCATGGTGCTAACAGGCTGCCAGGGTTCTGGCCATGGGCTCCAGCCTTTACCTAAACATGACACGTTGATGCCAGGGAGGCTGGAAAATATGGCTATCCAGAGTGAGTAAAGGTCTAGAACAGGCAAAAGGGGAGGACAGGACTTAGGTAGTGATTCTCTAAGTATCTCCCTCCATTTTACAGATGAGGAACCCGAGGCCCCAAGAGAGGCAGTGACCCGCCAGGGGTCTCGGCTCTGAGTATCACCTGGGTCCTGAGAACCCCACGACGCTGATGGCCGGTACAAATCTCACATTGTGACCCCTGAGCTTCAGGGGCGGCGAACAGTTGAAACTCAAGCATGGGGAGCTCAGAGCCACTGGCCAAGGCAGAAACAGGTGTAGAGGGTGGGACCCCACTCCTGGCTGGCAGCCCATTGTGCCTCAGTTTCCTTGTTGTAAAGTGGCCCTGGAGAGGACCCACACACTCTCTCGTGGCTCCTGGCTAGTGGCCTTGTGACGCTGTGGCAGATAGCCTGCCTGCACAACCTACAAATAAACTCTGACCCAGCTCCGTCTGCATCACCTGAGGATCTCGGACCACGGGGTGATGGGCCCAGCCTGGAGCCAAATGACCCTGCACACCTGCTGCTGTGAGCATGTCCAGGGCAACAGGATGCACTGGGCTTGGACCTAGGAACAAATGAAAAGGACAGCGCCTTCAGGACGCAGCCCTCTACCCCTGCCCAGCAAGCGCGCAGGCAGGCTGCCGGCCCCTGGAGCTTTTATTTTGCAGCAGCCTCTCACTGTGTGGCCCAAGATGACCTTGACCTTGCAATCCTCCAGCCTCAGCCTCCTGAGCTGGGATCAGTGTGCAAATAAGGCGACTCCCCAGCACATGCCCAGCACTGGAGCTTCTGGCCTTGGGATGTTCCCGGGACAACCAGATTCACAGATAAGCGCATGGAGGCTGGAAAACACCTGACCAGGACCCTAGGGTGTCTGGGGCGCTCTCTGGGTCGTGCAGGGGCTGGGGACTTGGGTGGGAAGCCTGAAGGGCCAACAGGCCCGTGAAGCCAGTGCTCGGGAGGCCAAAGCAAGAAAAGCCCATCTTCAGCACAGCCTGGGCAACTGTGTAAAAAATACATCAAAAGGGCTGTGTTCAGAATTTCCACCCCCCTCCCAACCAGGGATTGGACTCAGACCCTTGCACTTGCCAGGCAAGCGCTTATTCTACTGAGCTATCTCCCCAGCCCCTTGGGTTCATAATTTTTATATAAAAAAAGAAAGGCTAGGTTCACAGCACACTTCGGTTCCCAGTAGAGAGGGGAAGGGAGGACCCCAGCAAGGTGCTGGCAGCGGACACCTCCCTGCCAGTCACCCTGCCAGGCATCGCTCAGGGTTCAGGCCTGCAGGCAGCAGCTGTGTTCTTGGGTGCAGGAAGCAGCACACCCTGGGGTGGGACCCCACCATGCCACACCCTCCATGCCAGCAGGGACCCCAGAGGGCTGGAGCTGTCTCAGGGGACCCCAAACAGCTCCTCTGGGGCTGGAGGTAGTTGCACAGCAAAGTAGCTGCAGAAAAATGCTGTGTCCTAGGCACTGACCCCACTGAAGTTTAGACAGAGACACTGACGCAGCCTCAAGGCCCACATCTGCAGGCCAGGTGACTGGGCAGGAAGCCACAGGGCCTGGCCCTGGAACCTGAGCCTTGGAGACTGTGTATCCCCATGTAGGGTGCCAGGCGCCTGGACTCTGCCAAGTGTCTGGATTGCAGCAGCACCTGACCAGGCTTGGCATGGGGAGGGGCAGAAGCTGGGTGCTTCAGGGAAGGCAGGGCTCGGCCCTGACTGGGCCAGTGACTCTGCCACGCTTGGCTATGGGGATCATGGGTTCTGCCCCTGTACCCCATGTGAATGTGGGGATTAGGGGTCCTGGGGAGTCTCGGAGCTGGCTCTGCTGGGTCCTGGAAGGCATGGGGCCAATGCAAAGCCCTCAGGGAAGATGGGGGACCTGCTGGGCTCACCTGCCATCTGAGTACTGGGGAAGCTGAGGCAAGAGGGCTACAGATACTGTTTCAAAACAACAAAAACTGGGGAAACTGAGGCACGGACATCGTCTAGGACTGCACCTGCCCTGAGAAGTTGACTCACTGCACAGAAAAGGCCTGTCCAGCCTGAGTGCCCACTGGGACCATGTGGGCCTCGACACCCAGGCTGAAGGGGCAACGAGGAGCCCTGACCACACAGATGCCCTGAAAAGTGATCCGGAGCTAGTTTCAGGTGGGCTGGAATAGGAAGAGGAGACAAAGGCCTTTGCTTCGCAGCCAGATAGGCTAGCGCGGCCGGCGCCAGTGCAGCCTGGGCGGCCCCAACAGCAGAGATGCCACAGATAGGGCGCGGGCTGAGCTGGTCCTGCCCTGCCTGCCGCACCATCAACTGCTTCCGATTCCACGGGCTTCCCTGGGCTGCCAGCTGGCAGGCCTGTGCCACCCCCGAGCCAGCTTCAGGGCACACACCTGTGACCTAGCACTTGGGAGGCTGAGGCAGGAGGATCACAGGTTCAAGCCCAGCCCTGGCAACTTAGCAAGACTGTCTTAAAATAAAAGCCCTGGATTCCATCTACCAGAAAAGAGCTGATGTGCCGGGACTTACTAAGGGAGGCCTCTCTGCCTGCCCAAGAGATGTCCACACAGAGGACAGGCTTGACTGGGCGGTAAGCGGAGGCTGGACTTGCTAACCTTGCCCCTAAATTTGTTTCCATGGCAACTTCACTGCTGTTTGCAGTGCTAGGACATGAATTCAGGCTACATCCCCAGCCTTCTAGGGTTGTGATCTATGCTTTTCTTTTCTTTTTGCGGCAGAACCAGGGATTGAACTCAGGCCCTGTGCTTGCCAGGCAAGCGCTTATTCTACTGAGCCATCTCCCTGGCCCTGGGGTTGTGATCTGGAGACAAAGTGACCGCAAGTCACAGAGTTCCCTGGGGTGGGCCTGAATTTGCCATTCTCCTGCCTCAGCCTCCCAGAATGCTGGGATGATTCATGCAGCACCATACTGTTTCCCATGGCAACTTTACAGCAGTGGTGACAATAATGACAACGGTACCCCAAGCCCTGCCTGACAAGGCAGGGAAGCCACATGCCAGGCAGGCTGGTGGCTGAGAATGGGCTCTTGGTTCAAAGCCCAGATGTGATTTTAGCACCCCTGCTTTAGCTTCCCTGGCAGAAGGACTTCTCATTGGGCTGCAGACCAAATGACAGTGTGCCTGGCGTTACGGAGGTCCGTGATCACTGCAGGATCTGCAGGTGCGGTTCTTTTAGAGAATAGTTTCACCGTGAGCCCCAGGCTGGCTTTGAACTTGGGGCCCAAGGACTGAGATCACAGGTGCCCTCTCACTTTCAGGCTAGTTTGCAGTTCTGGATCCTCCTGCCTCAGCCTCTCTAGTAGCTGGCAGTGCAGATGTGAGCTGCTGCCTGTCACTCTGCCCCTCGACCAAGGACCCCAGCAGGTTTCCTGCGAGTACAATCCCAGCTCCCTCCCTCCCTGGGCTTCAGTTTGCTGTCTGCAGGGGCCATGTGTGGGATGAAGATGAGGACGGGGCTGCGGAGGCAAGTGGGATCAGGACGCCAGCCCTGGACGGTAGCTCCTTTATTTCCCAGGGGATGCGTGTCTCCCACGAAGTTTTGGGCTGGGCTCCAAGGCACTGATTTTGGCCCAGCGCAGTCCCACAGACCAGAGGGGGACCCACACTGACCCCTCAGGGTCACAGACGACTGTGCAGCGCCCACAGGGGCTACGAGACGCTGGGGGGCAGGCGGGCAGCCGCAGTCTTCTCCACCACGAAGCCGTAATTGTACTGCAGGGAGAGGAGCAGGCAGTAAACTGAGGACCAAGGGCACACACAGGGGAGGGAGAGGGCGGCACGTGGTCCTGGCCCAGCACCCACCTCCTCCTCGATGTCTGCCAGTGACTTGATGGTCAGCTCCCCAAAAGTAGAGAAGGCCTGTGGGCCAAAAGGCAGACTGGTGGCTCAGGGTGGGCCACTCCCCGCTGCCCAGCCCAGGACACCTCAGCCCTTGTGCCAGTCCCTCTGGCTCCAGGCCGGCACCGCAGCTCCTGCCACCCCCAACAGCCCCACTGCCCAGCCCAGGACAGGGTTTCCAATACCCAGACCAGGGACAGGGTAGGGTCCACTCACCAGGGGCCCACAGCTCTTGCCCTCGAATCGGGGATGCAGTGTGAAGGGAACCCCGTCCATGGCTACAAAGACATGTCGAGGTGGAGTTGGGTCTTGAAGACAGGCCTAGCCCCAAGCCTGGCTCTGTGCCCCTGCCTGTTTCCACCACACTTACCAGAGATGCCGTAGAGACTGGAGGCCTCATAGATGGAGTCACTCCTCCGTAGTGTAGATGCCCGGGAGCCCAGGCGCGATAGCGTCCGCTCAGGGCCGCTACTCTTGCTGGTGGACAGGGACAGTGAGCTCCTGGTGACCACGTGGCAATCCCACCCCACCTGAGGACACGGGCTCACCTGGGCTGGCTGGCTGCGTCCAGGGAGAGGCCACGCACATCCCTGCTCAGGCCTCTGGGCTTGGGCACCGGCCGCGGGGCTTTGGCCTTCTTGCACCAGATGGCAAAGCCACCCATGTCCCTAAGGAGAGGAAAGGGGACCCTGTGCCTTGTGCTATGGGATCAGGGATCCTTACCATCTGCAGTAGGGACAGGAGACTCAGAGAAGAAGGCAGGAGCCAGAGGGCAGGAGATGAAGCCAGCATCCTCACCCGACTCGCAGGTACCCGGGCACAGTCTTGGTCTTCCCGCTAAGCCGGACGTCAAACACAGCCATGTCTGCAGCACCCAGGGGCACCAGCTTCACACACATGCGCTTCTTCTTGGACACAGAGGCCTCTGGAGCAGGGGCAAGGAGTGAGAGGGAGGCAGGCTGGGTGAGGGCCCCAAGATGGCTCCGGAATGGGGCCACACAAAAAAGCACAGTGGTAGTCCAGTCACAGAGGCTGAACTAGGACGGGCTGATCTTGGGAACGTGGAGGAAGAATACTTCTGGGGTGGCTGTGGGATCAGCCTGGCCCCGACCCATGTTCCTCATTCTCTAACCCCAGGCCAACAAGTCACTGCTCCTGGGCCATTTCCAGCCTGTTTTTGTGAAGCAAGAAAGGGAAAAATAATTTGCACAATTTTTTTTCCCACTTGCAGTTTGTGCAATTTTTTAAGAGGATTAAAACCTGGCCATCACAACACATCTGTAACCAGGAGGATGGAAAGTCGGAGGCTGGCCTGAGCCTGAGTAATTTAGTGAGGTAGGAAGACTGTGTCTCAAAATAAAAATAAATAAATA